TGCTTTATTTTTTTTTTTAAAGATTTATTTATTTATTTATACAAGCACTGGGTACAGTCAGAGGCGCCGGAGGGTGAGAGAATTCACCAGAGCCAGAGCGGGGAGCAGAACAGGCAGACTGACGAAGCACACTGCTGAGGGGAGCAGGGGGCAACAGGAGAGGTCTGCGTGCCATGTGGGACCCTTGCCCAGTTGTTGGGGATTGAACTGGTGCTGCAGAGGCTGCAGGCAGCCTCGCAACCGAGCACTCAACCGCTGTGCCACCGGGGAGGCCCATCTCTCTGTTTTATAGACTCACATTCTAGAGAGTTTAATATAGAAACCAAATTTATTAACTTGATTGCATATATTATATGTACATACATATATATGCATATTTACATATATATGTTATATTGTAATGCCTTTTGTAGTTGTTTTCTATCAATGCCCAAAAAGTTAGGTCAATATTAAATAATATATTTTTCATTTTTTTTTTTAAAGCAGGTCACTCTTTTTTTAAAAGATTTATTTATTAATTTTATACAAGCACTGGGTACAGTCAGAAGTGCAGGAGGGTGAGAGAATTCACCAGAGCCAGAGTGGGGAACAGAACAGGCAGACTGACAAAATACACTGCTGAGGGGAGCAGCGGGCACGGCAGGAGAGGTCTGTTGCGCCATGCGGGACCCTCACCGGTGGCCGGGGATTGAACTGGTGCTGCAGAGACTGTGGGCAGCTTCCACAGCCCAGCGCTGAACCTGCGCCACCAGGGGAGTTCCCAGGTCACTTTTTAAAAAAGATTTATTTATGCATTTTATGCTACAAGAACTGGGGTACAGGCCAGAGGTGCGGGGGCTGAGAGGATTCACCAGAGACAGAGTGGGGAGCAGAACAGGCGAATTTACTGAAATACACTGCTGAGAGGAGCAGCCGGTGAGACAGGAGAGGTCTTCTGCACCATGTGGGTAGCTCCCTAGCCAGCTGAGGATCAAACTGATGCTGCAGAGGCTGCCGATAGCTTCATAGGTTGCATCTTAACCCCTTGCACCACCAGGAAGGCCCTACGTGTACTTTTAAATCACACACACACATATAAATGAGTGATTTCTGTAATTCTAAGGAGATTTTGGGACAATTACATGACAAAGAAACAATTACATGACAAAGAAATTGTCATGTAGCTGTCATGGGAGCTGAGTGCTGCTCAGCACACAGGAATCTGACCTCAGCTCCAGGACTGCAACCTCCCAGCATCTCCCAGGCTCCTGCAGGGCCCTCCCACTCCCCACTCCCAGCAGTAGTCTGGGCCTAATCAGGAAACTGAAAACCCACAGCAGGTTAAGCCGGGACTTTTAATATAAAGGATGATGAACTGGAATCAAAGAGCAACTATGACATAAAAGCAAACTCTACAAAGATTTTGGGACAATTACATGACAAAGAAAGAGGTGACAATTTAAATTGTAAGAATTATTAAGTGGAACAAGGCAGGATCCACCTTCCCAGACTTTCTTTGGTTCAGTAAACCCTCACTGAACCCCCTGCCCCCTAAACCTCGGTCACTGGCACCTCTACATAAAGGTATAGCTACACTTAGACCTGCTCCAAAAAACTGCTTTGCCTTCCAATCTGGGACCTCAGAGCAGCTCTTCTCCTTCCAAGCATTTCTTTCCCTGAGGTTCAGGCATATCTTGTCTGCCATTTATCTCTAGGCTGTATAAATCAGGAATTGCCACGGGACCTGCAGGTCACAGAAACTCAGATGGAGAGGCAGGCAGTGTCTCATCCTGGTTCTGCCACTCCCTGGGGAGGTGACCACCGACCACCTGAGTCACCTCCTTGGGTCTCAGTTTTCACATCGGCAAAGATGAGCTTACTAGACCTTTCTCCAGCGCAACATTCTTATAGTAACTTGATTACCAACTCATGAAAAAACCCCACTACTTGGGAGCTTCCCTAGTGGTGTAGGATTAAGTCTCAGTGCTATCACCACTGTGGCCTGAGTATGATCCCCAGCCAGGAAGGTGACCCACAGATGGTGCAGAAGACCCCTCCGGTCTCACCTGCTCCCCTTAGCAGTGTATTTCAGAGGATCTGCCTGTTCCTCTCCCCGCTCTGTCTCTTGTCAGTCCTCTCACCCCCCCATACCTCTGGCCTGCACCCCAGTTCTTATATGCATTAAAAAAAACCTACTTGGGAGGAACTCCCAAGTTTAGACTTAATTCTAGTGGGCCTAATGGGATGTTGTCCTTATTTCAAAAATGGAGCAGCTGGAAAGGCCAAAAAGAAATATGAAATTAGAGAACACATTTCATAAATCCCCAATGACTTGTTAAATGACCACAAGATGATTAAAAAACAAGACATTCTTCCTATTTTCTCACAAACACACAGAGGTTTGTTGAGTAACTTCATTCAGCTAACAGTCTTTGTCTTCAAAGACTCAAGTTCAACAAGTCTCAGCTCAATCCCCCAGCAACCGTGTAACCCTGGCCCTTGACCTCTCTGAGGTCAAGGCCCTGACTGTCTAAGTACCTCACTGTCCTTCGTTGTAAAATATAGAATTCATCTCTTCCATTCTTTAGTCATATAGGATTTTTAAAAATCCTTTATAAAATATATATCCTTTATACTATATTTGAATAAAAATTGTTCTTTACAGTAGGAATTTTCATTGCCAAGTCAGAGGAAAGAAAAAAAAAATCAGAGGAAAGAAACCAAGGCACAGGTTAAATGGCTTGCCCAGGGTCACACCAAAGCAGTGGTTCTTGGGGGTTTTGACCTCAATTTATGCAGATCTTGCCTTTTATGTAGAAAGATTTTTAGAAAATTTCCCCCCATAATTTAAGTAGAAGATTTTCAAACCAATAGAAAAGTTAAAAGAATAGTTCAACAACCTCCTGTTACTGTTCATATAGATTCTTCAGTTGTTAATATTTTGCACAGAGGTTGAGCTCTGGGCTGCGAAGCTGCCCGCAGCCTCTGCAGCACCGGTTCGATCCCCGGCCGCCGCTGGGCAAGGGTCCCACATGGCGCGCAGACCTCTCCTGCCGCCCGCTGCTCCCCTCAGCAGTGTACTTCGGTCCTTCTGCCTGCTCTGCTCCCCGCTCTGGCTCTGGTGAATTCTCTCACCCTCCCGCACTTTTGACTGTACCCAGTGCTTGTAAAAATAAATAAAATCTTTAAAAAAATTTTTTTTGCCACATTTCTTTTAATGTCCTCTTACTCGGTGTTTAGTTTTTTCTGAGCCATCTGAAACACAGCGCAGATGCACGGATGCCTCACTCCTGAGGACTTGAGCACGAGTCTCCACAGAACAGGGATATTTTTCATTACCACAATACCACATTTCTTCCCAAAAAGTGAGCATTCAGGGCCTCCCTGGTGGCAAGGGGTTAAAGACAGCACTTTCAAGCTACTGCCAGCCACTGCAGCACGAGTTCAATCACCGGCAGCCAGGGAGGTGACCCACAAGGCGCAGCAGACCTCTCCTGACTCGCCCGCTGCTCCCCTCAGCAGTGTATTTCAGTCAGTCTGCCTGTTCTGCTCCCCACTCTGTCTCTGGTGAATCCTCTCACCACCCACACCTCTGGCTTACACCCCAGTTCTTGTATGCATAAATAAAAATCTTTTTTTAAAAAAAGAAAAATCAGAAAAAACAAACCAAAAAAATGAGCATTCATCCAAGAACATAATCTAATAAGCAGTCATATTCAAATTTCCTTGTGACCCCAAGCCTGTCCCTTGTAGCTTCTGCCCCCTGTGTCTGCCCCCATGTAGGAGCCAAGTCAGGTCACGTACTACAGGTTGGCTACCATGTCTCTGTAGTCTCCTTTAAACTAAAACAAACCCTCTTCCCATCTTTTTTTTATGAATTTATCTTACATCACTGTTAGTGTTTTGGAAGTAGAGGCTCTCCCCCCTCAGGTATAGTCACCTTAGTCCCCCCCGCCCCGCCACCAAAACACCATAGGCCTCCACCATAGTGCACTGTGCTCTTCCCACTCTGTCCTCGCCCACCCATTCCTCTCCCCTCCTGGATGCCTCGGATCTACCGTCAACTTTCCCTTTTTTTAAAAAATTTTATTTATTTTGCATATAAGAACTAGAGTATAGGTCAGAGGTGTGGAAGGGTGAGAGGATTCACCAGAGACAGAGCGGGGAGCAGAACAGGCAGATCTGCTGATATACATTGCTGAGGGGAGCATCCGGCAAGACAGGAGAGGTCTGCTGTGCCATGTGGATATCTCCCCAGCCAGGGATCAAACTCAGGCCATAGGAGTGATAGCGCTGAGACTTAACCCCTAGGCCACCAGGGAGACCCTGTATGGTCAGCTTTCAAGGGTTGGTTTTGAAGTTTGTCTTTGACCCTTTGTTTGGTGTTTCTATATTCCAACATAAGTAATATCCTCCACCTTTTTTCTTTTTCTTGATGTCCTGCTAATTATCCCTCAGCTGGATTCACTTGCTTGTTTCCTTGTTGTTGGAAAATGTATTAAACAGTGAATATTTGGGAGCACAACTCTCACAAAAAGTGACACAACTAATCCTCCCAACTAATGGGGAGCGTGTGCCCTCTCCCTCACACACACTCAGGGGTTCCCCTTCAAGCAGGGGCCGGAGGAACAGAAGAGCATCCCAGTTAGCAAATAACACCTCCCAGAGGTTCCTGGGGTCTCCAAGCGGGGGATCCTGTGTTGGACAGAGAATCAGACAACTCCCAGAGCAACATGCTATACAAAGTGACAGGGGACGCCGCTTCTTTATTGTGTCAGGCAAGGACATCTTTGAACAAAGCACCCACCACCTTTCATCATTTCATAAATCTGTTGTTATTTTATAAACAGGTCATTTTAACAGCAAAAGGAGGGAATCAGAATCTCAGGACAAATACTCTAAAAAGGATAGTTTTTCAAAAGGACAGTCTGCTCATATGTAGACCAGCCCACCAGGTCCTCTGAATTCTCATTGGCTATGGACTTCTGTCACAGGGAGGCACAAGAACTTGGTACCACTAGCCAGAGAGAACTATCTGGAGCTAAATTACTGGTAAGATCTGCAGGGGATGACTTTGCCCTTGTACTAGATGTGGTCTCTGGGGAAAAGGAGAGGGCAGGAGGCCCAGCCTGGCTCAGGTAAAAGGCCACTGTGAGCCATGTCACCTTCTGGACCAGGGGTCCTGCACCCATGTTCTTACCTTCCCTGGAGCCTGGTGGCACGTCCAGAGAGATGCTCCCAGCCTGAGGACACTGGCCCCTTCTTAGCATTTCCACCTCCTGGCTGCTACTTTCCAGCCTCCTGGCCAGGACCTCGTTCTCTGCCCCCAGTCGCCTGGTCTCTTCCTCCAGAGCTGACTTGTCGCGGAGGAGCTGGCTGTAGGCTGTCTCCAGCTCTCTGGTCTGGGATTCCAGCTGATCTCTTTCCCTGCTCAGAGAGCCCAGCTCCCCCTGCAGCCCCTCTTGGGTTGTCAAGACCTCGGCAGCCTGGTTCAAAGTCAGCCGGTGCAGGAGGCCCTCCAGGGAGCTAAGCCGGGCCCGGGTGGCCTCCAGGTCTGCATGTTGGGCTCTGCTGTCCCTCTGCAGGTCCTGGATGGCTGACATGGCCAGGCCCTGGTCAGGGCAGCTGGACTCGTTGGGGCTGGCCACAGTGAAGGTGTACTGGCATCGGCCACTCCGGTCATTGGCCTTCCGGAGCTGGGCTGTCCTGGCCCCCAACCCCCAGGCCAGACAGGCCAGTAGCAGCAGCTGGATGGCTGGCATCCTGAGTCTTCAGCTGTGGCACCACATGCAGAGCTTCAGCACAGGGGTGGGGGAGGTGGCCTCTGGGAAGCTCTTCTGTGCCGGGAGGTGTCTGGATGGTGACCTGGTTCATGTCGCAGCCCCACAGAGGTTTATATATACAGGGAGGCAGTCCTGCATGGAGTGAGAGAGAGAGGGGCCACGTGAGGCTGGGTGGGGCCCTGCACAGGGGGGTGCCTTCTCACTGCCAGCCAGACTCTTAGAAAATGACCTTTCAGAAATCTGTTTTGAATTTCTTAAAAAAAATTTCCACTTTACATACCCCATAATAGTCCCTATATCTCCACCCTTTTTGCGCACACACATCACACATGTCCCCTGCATCCAACATGACTTATTGTGTGCCGCTTTCGACAGGGAGTTATTTCTGGTTTACATTTCCATTTACTCTGTAAGCTCCATTGAGCTTACTGCCCTAGTGCTTTCTGATAGGCACTAGGTGGGGAGCCAGGGACACAGACATGCCTAGGACAGGTCTGTCTGCAGGGACAGAGGCAAATAACAGGCCGTCAGAATACAAAGGTAGCACAGCTCCAGCTACTAGGAACAGCAAGCCCAGAGAAGCCACAGGAAGCAGAATTCTTTCCTAGGCCCTCATTTTATTGAATTTATATTTTTTAAAGATTCATTTATGCATACCAGAACTGGGGTACAGGCCAGAGGTGCAGGGGGTGGGGTAAGAGGATTCACCAGAGACAGAGTGGGGAGCAGAACAGGCAGAGTGATTGAAATACACTGCTGAGGGGAGCAGCGAGCAGGTGAGGCAGGATTGGTGTGCCGAGCCATGTGGGTAGCTCCCTCACTGGGGGATTGAACTCAGTGCTGCAGTGGCTGCTGTTAGCTTCATAGTGCTGCAACTTAGCCCCTTGTGCCACCAGGGAGGCCCCTAAGCCCTTATTTTAAAACAACTGTGGTTGCATCCTTGGGAGAGCTTTCCATTGCAGTTTTGTATCTCAGTTACCAATATCAACATTAATCAACTTCTAGACCAATTCTTACTATTGTATGTTTGTGTGTGTGTGTGTACATGTTCCGTGAACCTCAGTGATGAAACCTTTGGAACCTTTCTCAAAAAGACATATGTAAAGGTATAAAATACAGGGCCTCCCTGGGGGCACAAGGGGTTTAGCACAGCACTGTAAAGCTGTCCGCAGCCTCTGCAGCATGAGTTCGATCCCTGGCTGGCCAGGGAGCTACCCACATGGTGCAGCAGACCTCTCCTGTCTTGCCCACTGCTCCCATCAGCAGTGTATTTCAGTAGATCTGCCTGTTCTGCTCCCCACTCTGTCTCTGCACCTCTGGGCTGTACCCCAGTTCTTGTGTGCATAAATAAATCTTTAAAATATGAATAAATAAAAGTATAAAATATATAGGATTACAAAGGAAATACATGATAGTAAAATACAATTATTAAAATATTTTTAATTGAAATATACATGTCCTTAACACATTAAAATCAAGGTCTAGCAGGGGACTGGATTTTAACTAGCTTTGAGTGTGTGATTATATGTACCTGCAATGACATGTACAGTGTCTGAGTTTTCTACTGGATGGCACTGTCACAGAAACTGCTGATGCAACTTTGGATGCTGGATTCTCTGGAGAGGACTTGGAGATTGGAACACAGCTGAGAAGCAAAGCTGAAGTTAGCGGTGTGTCCTTAGAGCGATATCCATAGTGGAACGAAAGGTTAAACTTACATTTTAGCTAGAAGATGGTGACAAGGAAGTTGTCATTTTTTCCCATCCAACTTCATGGGCTTTCTGGACCCTTGGTCAATAATCCCTGCTTTGTCATAGTAAGTCCAAAAAGAAAAAAAAACAAATGAAACAAAAGCAGGGGTAGGGGAGGACCCACCAAATATCCCCAGGCAAACGCTGTTGTGTGTGCTTAGGAAAAGCACCTGTGGCTTATGGTTTGGTGAGCTTTCCTCAGTCCTTGTGGCTCACCCTCACTTTCCCCCCCTGGAGCCTGGTGATAAGGACAGACGGGGCTTCCACACTTTGCCTTCTGGTGCCCCCCACCCTCATGATCACCACCCTATGATACTCTACTGTTTGAGCTCTGTCTACCACCCACTCTCTGCATCCCTCCCTCAAAGTATTCACTACTTCCATACACTATAGATGAGAAAACTAAGGCCCAGAGAAGGAGAGGTTCTGGCCCCGGGTCACACAGCCAATCAGGGGCAGAACAAAAGCCTGCTGTTTTCCAGGTTTCCATCACCAGGCATGAGCTAAATCCACCTAAACACCCAGAAGTTGCCAAGAATACATGAAAGGGGCCTCCTGGTGGTGCAAGGGGTTAAGTCGCTGCTCCTCTATGAGCTAACCCACATGGCCCAGCAGACCTCTCCTCTCTCGCCCTCTGCTCCCCTGAGCAGTGTTTCTGGTCTGTCTGCCTGTTCTACTCCCTGCTCTGTCTCTTGTGACTCCTCTCAGCCCCCACATCTCTGGCCTGTACCCCAGTTCTTGCATGCATAAATAAATAAATCTTTAAATTAAAAAAAAAAAAAGAAATACATGAAAGACTCCAGTCACTTCTTCCAGGAATTGAGGCTCTGGGGAACGAGCTAGCTTCCTATAGCCCCTTATATAAAGGCCCTCAGTGAAGGAAAAGTCAGACACACCCTTGAGTTTTTACAGCTGATTTTATGAAATGGCAAGCGCTCATGAAATAGAATTACTCTCCAAGAAGCAAAGAAAACGGCTCACTGGGAGACACAGGAAACTCCCAGCCCTGGGAGCAGCAGCAGACATCGGGCCTCTTCCAGCCTCCTTTTGCACCCTCCTGCCTCTCGGGGGTCCTCCCAGGGCCAGCACCACTCCCCACGCCCCTCCTAGAATCCTCCAACTTGAAGACCCCTTGCCCTTTAAGGGGTAATTTCAGATTCGCTTCTCGGCTGTGCTCCAACCTCCATGTCCTGTCTGGGGCCTGGATCCAGGGAATCTCCAGATCGGACGTTCGCGGCCGCCAGGGAGACAGCCAGGCTGCCAAAGGCAGTTCAACTTCTTGTTGGAGCCGCCGACACCCGGCAGGATGCTGGCAGCAGGGGGCGCTAGGGAGGTGGTGTCATGATCACCGGGTTTTCAGTTCCATTCAGCTGGCGTTTATTTTTGTTCCTTTTTAGCCCTGGTTCAAACTGGTTGGCTACTGATTTTCTTCTGCCATTTTTCCATGAGATGCTGTACCCCACCCTCCATGAAAGTAGGGCTGTGTCTGCTTTGCTCTCCAATGTCAGGAAAATATAGAAAGTTTTCCAAAATCATTCAATGGATGCATGGATAGATACAGAATAAATGCAGAGAGAGAGAACTAAGGAATGAGAACAGAGCCACCAGCGACGTTTAAACATACCAAAGGCGATGTTGGGGGACAGTGGGAGAAGTAGAGGGGAACAATCGGCCTGGCTGCGTAGGAGCTCGACCTGAGGACCCTGGACGCCATGTGTAAAAGTGCATTTTCTCAAGCATTACAGGTTACAAGTCTACTGCTGTTCGCGCGGGGATCTGCGAAATGTTTTCATGTTTGCAATAGCTTCTCAGACACTAACCGTTTGTAATTTACTGGTGGGGCACAATATCAAGTCAAGACTTTAAAATTTTTTTTTCTTACGTTGTTGTTCATTTTTGTATGATATTTGATTTCTTCTCTCAGGTGTAATCCCCATAAATCTCCCATCACCACCTCATCCGTGATCATCATACTCCCTTCCCTATTTTGAGGCCCTCCCTCCGCCTCCCCTATTGTATGTCTCAGATCTGTAATTTGCCTGCTAGTTTTGTCTGCCCCCCACCCCCACCGCCCTATGTTAATTCAAAGGTCAGTACTGAGCAGAGGGGCTTTCAGAAGATCAGAGAGCCCCATGTCATGTTCCACCAAAATGATATAAAAACTGAAGCCCTGATCTATATTAAGTTCATACTGTTTTTTCCTGGCAAATAATTAGTACAAACTTTACTTTTAGAATGACATCTATGAAGAATCCACAGAAAAGCAAAATATTTTCCATACAAAGCGAAAAAAGGTTATTAAAACGGTCCTGCTTTTTTGTCTAAGGGTGGGAGACTAACCATCAACCTGAGCTTGTTTTTTTAATTTAAATTTTATTTTTATATTCCCCATACAATTACAACCCCCTTATTTTGACCCCAATCCCTCCTTTCCCTGCCCCCCACCCCTCATAGAGTGTCTCTGGTTCATAGTTTTTTGTTGATTTTGATATTTTCTTTCTTATAGTTATTCATTTTCCTGGTCCCTTATTTAAGTTTTCTAGATTCCTGCTATGAGTGAGACCATCCGGTATTTTTCTTTTTCTTTCTGGCTTATTTCGCTGAGCATGATCCCTTCCAGCTCCATCCATGCTGCTGCAACATGAGCTTGTTTTAAGCAATTATTGAATAACTCATCTTAGGATTTTCTTCCATTTCTTTTAATTCTTACTTTTTACTTATTCCTTATGCTTTTGCTTTCTTAGGAGTCAGTATATTAGGGAAAGGTGAAGGGACCTAGATATCTCTGCAGTTTGTTCACTCCTTGGTCAGCTGGCTATGCCTCTTTTTCTCCAGGTTTAAAAATTGAGAAATTTTAGATTTTTTCTTTTGAAATTTGAAGATTTAGAAAGTTCCTGTGAAAACTGTGGCATATTGTTCAATGGTTGTAACAAGGAAAGGAAACTTGAAGACTTGAAAGAAGCTAGACACAAAAGGCCCATGTCATATGGTTCAATTTACGTGAATGTCCAGAACAGGCAAGTCCATAGAGTTAGTGAACACACTAGTTTTTGCTAAGGCTGGTAGCAGGAGAGAATGGTAAGTGACCGCTCATGGTTGGGGATGTTCCTTTTGGGGTGCTGAAAAATGTTCTGAAATTAGGTCAAGGTATGGTTGTACAACAATGTGAACATTGTAAAAAGGCAAATATTATTTAAAAAATAAGCCTATAATTTAAATATTTACCAAAAAAAGTAGTTCCTGTGAAGATCAGGTGACAAAATGAGCATGAAAGCTCTTAGAGCACTAGGACTGTGTCTTTAATCCTCTGTCCTCTGCTAGAGCAGAGCAAAGAGACCTCACAGAATGAAAGTTGCTTCTGATTCATTGTACAAGACTCTGCTGAGTGATTATGAATCATCGCCTGATCCAATAGCCACCATTTATTGTGCTCAGATTGTACACTAGGTGTTTACATGCAGTCTCTCATCCTTTCAACCACCCAACCAGATGGTTAACTTTTCCCCCACATTAGTTCCAGGGAAATTCAATTTCTGAGTCTAAAAGAAAGACATGTTGTTAAGCATGAGAACTAGAGTTGTGAACCTAACTTTTTGCAGGGTCTGAGTTCCCTGCATGGTTGGTTATTCTTCCTTATTTGACTGACATTAACTTACCAATAGATTATACCTCAGTCTGACATGACTAATTATTAAAGAGAGAGATTTTATTACTGGAACATATCCATCTATTCATTTCGTTTGAAAATTCTTTTATTCTACAGAGAACAGAAAATGTTTTCCCTGAAGATCAGTTAAATCCATGTAACAGATTTCAGTAAGCATAACTCAAAGGTTTTTTTTTTTTTTAAAGATTTATTTATTTGTGCATATAAGAGCTGGAGTACAGGCCAGAGATTCAGGGGGTAAGAGGATTCACCAGAGACAGAGTGGGGAACAGAACAGGCAGACTGACGAAATACACTGCTGAGGGGAGCAGCAGGCGAAAAAACAGGAGAGGTCTGCTTTGCTGTGTGGGTTTCTCCTTGGTGGGCTGGGGATCGAACTCATGCTGCAGAGGCTTCGGATTGCTTCATAGTGCAGTGTTTAACCCCTTGGGCCACCAGGGAGGCCCTCAAAGGGTTTTTAATCAAGAAAACATCATGTTTTATTTTTTAAAGTTGGAGTTGTGCTCTCCAACCAGCAAAATTATGTGAGCGCTTGCCAAGGAAGTAGTCACACACATTCACTTAAAGTTGGTGATTTGACTTTGGGTGAACACAGTTTATTCTTTAAAAACACATTTCTGAGGGCCTCCCCGGTGGCGCAGCGGTTGAGCGCTGGGTTGCGAAGCTGCCCGCAGCCTCTACAGCGCCGGTTCGATCCCCGGCTGCTCCCCGGCCACCGGAGGAGGGTCCCACATGGCGCGCAGACCTCTCCTGCCGCCCGCTGCTCCCCTCAGCAGTGTACTTCAGTCCTTCTGCTTGTTCTGCTCCCCGCTCTGGCTCTGGTGAATTCTCTCACCCTCCCGCGCTTCTGACTGTACCCAGTGCTTGTATGTATGTATGTATCAATCAATCAATAAATAAATCTTTAAAAAAAAAAAACACATTTCTGGGAGGTTATATCTAAAGCTATGGAGGGAAAATTGAAGACTTCTTGTCTTTTTGCCTTCTATCAAAGTAGAAAAACATCAGAATCAGAAAATCAGGAGATCATCTTAGGTCAACAACTCCTGAATGTCCTGCTTGGAATTTCATGTGTTATAAATTATCTGTGAGTATATTTCAAGTCCAGTAACTCCCTCACAAGCTTCCAATTACCTGGGCATCTTTCCACAAAATGTAGCAACCCTGTCATCAGAGAATTTCAAAGGATTTTACTATTAACACCAACAAGATTGAATCAAAAAGGTAAATCTCCTAAAAACAAATAAAAACCAAGAATGCAGCACATCCCAAGTTAAATATAACTTCAGATTTTTTTTTTTTTTACAGTTTACATCCTTTTCTATCATTGCAACATGTACTGCTGACTCTGCATGCTTTCTGGAATCTTGTTTCACTCTTGTTGCAAGAACACTGGAATTCCCTGGTCTCCTGTGTCCCTCTGAGAGTTCCTCCTGTCTAGGTAGGTTCTTTTCCTCTTTCTGTTCCATATCTTTTTTTTTTGCTTAGTTTTTTTTTTTTTTTTTAGAACTGGGGTGCAGGCCCGTGGTGCAAAAACAGATGGATCTACTGAAATGCACTGCTGAGGGGAGCAGCGGGCGAGTCAAGAGAGGTCTGCTGCATCATGTGCATATCTCCCTGGCCAGGGATCAAACTTGTGCTACAGTGGCTGCCCATAGCTTCATAGCTTCATAGGTTGCGTCTTAACCCCTTGCGCCACCGGGGAGGCCCCCCCAAATTATTTTTTTAAGATTTAGGGCCTCCCCGGTGGCGCAGCGGTTGAGCGCTGGGTTGCGAAGCTGCCTGCAGCCTCTGCAGCGCCGGTTCGATTCCCGGCTGCTCCCCGGCCACCGGAGGAGGGTCCCGCATGGCGCGCAGACCTCTCCTGCCGCCCGCTGCTCCCCTCAGCAGTGTACTTCGGCCCTTCTGCCTGCTCTGCTCCCCGCTCTGGCTCTGGTGAATTCTCTCACCCTCCCGCGCTTCTGACTGTACCCAGTGCTGTATAAATAAATAAAATAAATAAATAAATCTTTTAAAAAAAAAAAAGATTTATTTATTTATGCATTCAAGAATGGGGCTACAGGCCAAAGGTGTGAGGGTTGAGAGGATTCACCAGAAACAGAGTGGGGAACAGAACAGGCAGATTGAATGAAATACACTGCTGAGGGTAGCAGCAGGTTAGACAGGAGAGGTCTGCTGAGCCATGTGGGTCACCTCCCTGTCCAGGGATCAAACTCATGCCGTAGTGGCTGGCAACAGCTTCATAGTGCTGCGACTTAACCCCTTGTGCTACCAGGAAGGCCCACATCCCCAACTTATTGATGAGGATTCTGAGGTTCAGAGGTGACAAAATTTGCGTAAGTTTACACATTTAGAAAGTTGAGAAGCCAGAATTCAGACAGATGACCCTCTGACTCCTAACTTTATGCTAGACCATGTGCTTGCCTTACCCCTCCCTTGACCTTGGACTGTGTTGATCGAGGCTATGTGTATGTCACCCAGGGCAAAGGGGAGGATATGAGCAGAAAGGAGAAATTGAATGGGAAAAACAAATAAAAGGTAATATCTAAGATCTATTACATTTTTTAAGATGGAAAAAAATGTGTTTATATGCTAACGAGAAAGAGCCAAAGAGCAGAAGTCCAAGTATTAACAATCATAGTTGACATTTATTAAGCATGTTGTATGCCAGAGGCCTGCTAAACATTTTACCAGGATAACCTCACTAATCTACACAACACACTTATAAAGTACATGCTATTATTATCATGCTATTTTGCAGGTGACAAAAGAGAGGCTTTGTCCAAAGTCACCGGACAGGGTGATTTAAATGCAGGGGGTCTGAACTGCTGTAGGTGGGAATGCAGAAGTGGATGCCTGTCCTGGTGGGAAAGCCAAGCTTCTGTTGAGGCAGCACCTGGCAAATACCAAGTACATTAACTATGAGGCCATGATGTCTTTGAGGGCAGATGTATACATATATGTATCTTCACCATTTTCACAGATAGGACAGTCAGCCTCAGTGGTTGTCGACTTACTCAAAGCCTTCATCTTTTCTCTTTTAGCTCTCTGCCATGAGCTGTGATATGCAGGGGCTCTGCAGCCCCAAATCATGACAGCATTTGTTTCCAACACTTCTCGTCTTGTGAACTGGAATGAAAACACATAATTCGGGTAAGCGATGATCTTTTGAGCACTAAATGGATCATTTGGCTGCACCATCCTTATAAAGAGACTACTCAACTGCCCTGCTTGGGGGAATATAGCCAATTGCACTTTTGCTTTTAACAGTGGAACTCTGTTCCACTTTTTTAAACACAGCAAGATACTGTTTACAATGTCATTTCACTGGACTAGGCAACTTTTTTTTAAATAATAATGCATAGGATACATTGGTTTATTCATAATTTTTTTTTCTGAAATTGATCAACTAGTAGTAAATAATTGAAAAAAAAAAGCTGGGTACTCCCCTGGTGGCACAGGTGTTGAGCACCATGCTGTGAAGCTGTCTGCAGCCTCTGCAGCACCGGTTCGATCCTGGCTGGCTGGAGAGGGTCCTGCATGGCACAGCAGACCTCTCCTGTCGTGCCTGCTGCTCCCCTCAGCAGTGTATTTCATCAGTCTACCTGTTCTGCTCCCAGCTCTGTCTCTGGTGAATCCTCTCACCCTTCTGCGCCTCTGGCCTGTGCCCTGGCTCTTGTATAAAATAAATAAATAAAACTTTTTTTTTTTTTAAAGATTTAATTTATTTTTATACAAGAGCCGGGGTATAGGCCAGAGGCGTGGGAGGGTGAGAGGATTCAGAGAGACAGGGCAGGGAGCAGAACAGTCAGACAACAGAAATACACTGCTGAGGGGAGCAGCGGGCGAGACAGGAGAGGTCTGCTGCGCCATATGGGTAGCTCTCTGGCTGGAGATGGAACTCATGCTGCAGTGGCTGTGGATAGCTTCACAGGTTACATCTTAACTCCCTGTGCCACTAGGGAGGCCCGAAACTGGCATACTTCTAAAAGCTATGGCTCCTGGACCTCCTGGTGGTGCAGCGGTTGAGTGCTGGGTTGCGAAGCTGCCCGCAGCCTCTGTAGCACCGGTTCCATCTCTGGCAGCCTGGCGAGGGTCCCACATGGCGCGCAGACCTCTCCTGCCACCTGCTGCTCCCCTCAGCAGTGTACTTTGTCAGTCTGCCTGCTCTGCTCTCCACTCTGGCTCTGATGAATTCTCTCACCCTCCCGCGCTTCTGACTGTACCCAGTGCTTGTATAAATAAATAAATAAATAAATAAATAAATAAATAAATCTTTAAAAAATAAATAAAAGCTATGGCTCCTTAGCAGTTTTTTCTTGATAGAAATGAGACTATTACAAGGCAATATATTCTTTAGATTTTTTTAATTTTCTGAACTGAAAAAGGATATTTCACAGAGAAAAGTCTTAAGAAGACATCTAGATCTATGCTTTAAGAATATTAGGATGTAATTCTTTTTTTTTTTTTTTTTTTGTGGGACCCTCACCGGTGGCGGGGGATTGAACTGGTGCTGCAGAGGCTGTGGGCAGCCTCGCAACCCAGCGCTCAACCACTGCGCCACCAGGGGAGGCCCAAAAATATTAGGATGTAATTCTATGAACTCTTTAGAAAGAGAATTCAAGTTAATATCAAGGTGACTAAATGCAGAATATAGTTGCTGGAAAGGAAGTGGATTATGACAGAGATTTTGTTTAGGCAGTTAACATCCAAACTCTAAGTGGAAGAAATTTTTTAAAATCTTTATGGAATGGGAGAAATCATGGTTAAATAGTAATGGTGCTTTAATTGACTGTGCTTTAATAGTTGAGTTTAATGAGAAAGGAGAACCTAACTTGTACTTAGTTAGGCCTATTTAAGTCCTACTTCAAATACAAATTTATATTAAGCAAAATAGTTATGGGGGAGTAGGAAAGTTTTGTTCACATGAGTGCTTTTGTTGTTAAGTCCTCCTTCTGATGATTTCACTCACATCTGGAGCAACTTTACAACTGGGATCCACTGCCAAATAGAATGATCCAATATTTACTTGGTAATATCAAGTACAATCACAAGGGGAATACCAAAAGGAAATCATCTATAAAGTCCCTTTATATATTTGATCTGCACTGTCAATCAATGCAGTACAAGAATATCACCCCTATTTCTTTAAAAAAAAAAAATTTATTGGGTCTCCCTAGTGGTGGAGGCGGTTGAGCGCTGCATTGTGAGGCTGTTCACAGGTTCTGCAGTGTGGCCAGCCAGGGAGAAACCCCCATGGTGCAGCAGACCTCTCCTGTCTCGCCCGCTGCTCCCCTCAGCAGTGTATTTCGTCATTTTGCCTGTTCTGTTCCCTGCTCTGTCTCTCACCCTCCCACACATCTGGCCTGTACCCTGGTTCTTGTGTAAATAAATAAATCTTTAAAAATTTATTTTATTTATTTATGCATACAAAAGCTGGGGTACAGGCCAGAGGTGGGAAGGGTGAGAGGATTCACCAGAGACAGAGTGGGCAGAAGAACAGGCAGATCCACTGAAATACACTGCTGAGGGGAGCAGTGGGTGAGACAGGAGAGGTCTGCCGCGCATGTATGTATCTCCCTGGCCAGCCGGGGATTAAACTTGAGTTGCAATGGCTGTGGATAGCTTCACAGAGCTGTTTTTAATCCCTTGCACCACGAGGAAGGACCCCAATATCTTTTAAGAAATAACAAATTACTGATAACAAAGACAGGAGATGTGGAGAACTAGAGGATGAAGGCTTTTAGCAAGAGACTACCTGTCAGAAAAACAGGACTGGGCTGCTTTTGAAAGTCATGCTACAATAATGACCTTTAACCAGATTTCTTGTAATAAAATAAGGAAAAAACAAATCATTTCAAATATTAAGATTGGTAAAAATTTTAGTTGCATGCTTCTGGGAAAGCTATTTTCTCCCACCCCCACTTTGCCCTTCCCCTTTAAGTAGAGCACGCTGTTCAAAATTCAAAACCTGAGGGCCAAATTTCTAAGATAAACAAGACTTTCTGGATCTAAAATGTGCCCTGTCTTGAAAGCTGATTTAGTTTGGAAATGGAGTAAAAGGAGGAGAAAAGGAATTTTTAAATAAAAGGAATATGGACTTGAAAATAAATAATGAGGTTCAAGTTGCTTGGATTCTGTTCCTGGCACTGATATTTCTCTAAGCAACTTTAGACACATATAATTCCAAGCCAACTTGGCTAAGCCCAGAGCTGGCTGTAGAGAGCTGTGAAAAAAAGAAAGTGTGAAAGCCATTAAGTGGGAATCAGACCATGTGAAAGTTTCCCAGACCCATTTCAATGTGAGTGTGTGTTGGCTTCTCCGCACCAACCAGCAAGTCTTGGATCACAACACCGTGTGAGAATTCAACTCAGTTCAGATACTTTCTACCCAGAAATAGCATCATATTCCATAGGTTAAGACCTAAGTCTCCCACGACTGCCCTCCGATTCAGAGGTCAGCTGCAAGCCCATGCTGTTCCCTGCGCTTCTGACCAACTGGCTATTACTCAGAGGTTTCCACCATCTCCTCCTCCTCATCTCCTCAGGGTTTGATCAATTTGCTAAAGCAACTCACAGAACTCACTAGGACAGTAGTTTACTCACTAGATCACTGATTTATTATAATGGATGTAACTCAGCAAAGGATTTAACAGGAAGATATGTTTACAGGGCAAGGTGTGGGGAAAAGGTTCAAAACTTCCGTGACCTCTCCAGGTCCACCATTCTCCCCAAATCTCCATGTGTTCATCAATTCAGAAATCTTCTAGGGCCTCCTTGATGGCGCAAGTGATTGCAGCAGGAGTTCGATCCCCCACCAGAGAGCTATGCACATGGTACAGCAGATCTCTCCTGTCTCGCCCGCTGCTCCCCTCAGCACTGTATTTCAGTCAGTCTGCCTGTTCTGCTCCCCACTCTGTTGAATTCTCTTACTACCTCCCTGCACCTCTGGCCTACACCCCAGCTCTTATGGACATAGATAAATAAATCTTTAAAAACAAAAAACAGAAGTCTGCTAGAGCCTCTTCCTCTTGGATTTCTATAGAGTCTTCATTATTTAGGTATTGACCATTGATAATTCAACCTCCAGCTCCTCACCCCTCCCAAGGGGTCAGCAGTGGGACTGGAATTTCCAACCATCTAATCACAGGATTGGTATTCCTGGCAACCAGCCCTCATACGTGTGAGTTTTCCAAAAGTCACCTTCATTAACACAATAACAGGCACCTTTTACCTTCTTGACTTTAGGAAATTCTAAGACTTTCATGTTTTGGGAAAGCAGGACAATATCAAGTTTTGGGGAAAGACATGTACTTTTTAGGAAAGTCGGGGAAAATTCTGACACTACTTTGAGTAAGTGTAGCACCAGCAAGGCGCAGAGCAGGTTCTCTATGATCCAGGCAGGTGGGTAAAGGAAAGTCCTGGAGCCCTCAGTGGCTTTTCAGGCTTTTATTGAGCTTTTTACCAGGTACATGGCAGGCAGGGGTGCCAGGGGGCCAGGAGGCTAGCAGGCCTCCAAATTTTCACTCTGGGCTCTCTGGTGGCGAATTTTCACTCTTTCTGGGCTCTCTAATGGTCTCTCATGGCCTCTGAGTCTCCTTTGCTGCTCTGCTGGTCTGCTCTTGTTCTGCTGCTCTTGTTCTGCTCTTCTCATTCTTCTTCTCTTTCTGCTACTCTCTTCTGTTGGTTCCCTGTGACACCGCCCTTATAAGCCCAGTCTTAGCCCAGGTGTACCCCCTATGCATGCCCACACCCTACTCCAGGTGCCCGCCATCAGGCATGCATGTAGGGCCGCAGGGATCCATAATTAATGCTAATGAAGGGAGGGCAGGAAAGCCTGAGAATTTTTCACTTACCCTACAGTAAGTTAGAAGAATTTGCATTTCAGTATAAGAAATGAAAATAGTCTTTGTTATTGTTTGCTGAAATTTGCTTGAAATAGAGGGATGTAAAACTTCAAAATCTGCCTTTACAACACTGAAGGTGCCCCTTGACTTAAAAAAAGCACGATGAGAAATGAGCTTCACAGGTTAACACGTTGGGTTTAGTACCTGCCGGCGATTGAAGGTTCATGCTGTTGGTTTAATTGATGTCCTCAGCAATAGCATGTGACCAAGTAACTGGTGTTGAGATAATGCAACAATGCATATAGAC